AACTCAAGAAAGACAAATTTAAGATAGATCATTTTAACCTAAAAGAAGGGCCTCAATGTGTATAGATGGTGAAAGAATATGTTTGTAATAAATAAAACCATGATGAAAATGCTTATATTTAGTTTCAAACACACGTGTGTGGCCTATATTATAAATAAGATAAGCCAGCTATGTCATATTGTTTTCTATATGGGGAGTGGGGTGGGGTGGGTATGGTAAATTACTAACCGGGAAATGAGGATTGTATGTTATTATTATTATTATTATTATTATTATTATGTTGTAATGATGTTGTTTATACTGTTCTTTAATTTTATTAAAGAGGGCCCCTGAATATCAGTTAACCTACTGGGCTAAACTAGAAGGGTTACCCTCTTTAAAGATGGTTGAAATAAAAAATTAAAAAAATAATAAAAATAAATACCCACTCTGACCCAAGACACCTGTTACGCGCCTGGTGTTACGCGCTTGGTGTTAGCGCCAATGTGTGCCCTTGTGCGGACAGGAGATGTGCCCCCCCCTCTGAAGCTGGAAACCTTGTTTTTGCAAAATAAATTGATGCAATTTGCTATTACTGTATAGGCCTAATCAATAAATTCCTTATCAACCGATATAATCTTAAACATTCTTGGAATTGACATAACATTACTGATGTCGTACACACCCTTCAGTGTGAAATGTGGCTCTCTTTGCAAGAACATCTAACATCTAAGGAAAGAAGAGCTTAGATTGGTACCAGATAAAATAATTTTATCAACATTAATACATTATGCTAATTTTCATCTTTGTAAGTGCATAAGACAGTGCAAATTATTTCTGCGACAGTCTTCTGAAGTGTGTAAAGCTCCATTTTATCCCATACATAGTCAAAATATTGGGGGATGATACAATGGACCATCCCCCCTTGTCAAAAAATTGGGGGGGGGGTATATCCCCCATCCCCGGGATTTACGCCTATGGATGACTCTCATTTTGTAGTGAGACCTCACAACTGACTTTTGTGCCATAATTATTACAGGAGACAAAAGTAAAATAGCTGCAAATATACTTTAATATAAAAACAATGTTAAGGAGTACACTGATAATTACTGATGTAATTGTCTCTAAAATCAATACTCGAACTGATTTCCTAACTAAACACAGGTACATACATAGGGACAGGAAACAGGGATTGATGACTCATTTAATTAGTAACTGGTCATCATAATTTGGGAACACATGCTTTACTGTTACGTAGTGGTGGCAACTTCCTGGAGGATTAGTAGGAAAATACAACCTCAGGAATGTACATACAGTTAGTCACAGATTGAAACACTACTACATGTATGCTCTTGGAAACAAGAGGGGTGAACGCCTTGGGTGCCATGCAACTATAGGGTACTATGCTACAACATAAAATGCAAAATTTATATTAATCGCACTATTTCATCCAAAGAACAAATTTTTAATTGTTTTAATTTAATAGTCTGTAGCCTTAAATACTTTTAACAGAAGAAAATATGGAAATGAGAAACTAGACCTCTACTGGATTCTTCTACCCAGGGGACGGATCCAATACATTTCTTTAGAGAGAGCTCAAAAAATTTATATTTTTTAAATTCCTAATTCAGGTAGAAGAAATGTTTGAGACTTTTATAATGTCTTGTCCTGTAATTTAAAGTGATAGTCGTTGCATTTTTGGTACACTCCCTAGAGTCCAATTACAGTACATTACAAGTCAGGAAATTGCATTTTTTTTTTTTTAAATCAAAATAGACATTTAATAATCCACTGTAGCACTGATGCTCTATTATTCCTGTCTCTTATACACATCTAGATGTGTATAAGAGACAG